ACGATTAAAAACCCTTTCTTTCACATACCCCCACAGAAAGAAGTCTAACAGGGTGAGATCAGGTGAGCGAGGTGGCCAAGCGTGTGGTCCTAGTCTGCCGATCCAGCGATCATGAAATAGCTCGATGAGGCGCTCACGGACGAATCTCCAGACATGTGGAGGTGCACTATCATGCTGGAACCACGTGCGGCGATATTCGGCCAACTATAGGTCGTCCAAAATGTCAATCAACTGTTCATTTATAAAGTTTAGGTATCGCTGTCCGTTAATTCGCTGTGGCAGAAACACTGGTCTTAGTATGCGATCCTTAAATAAACCTGCCCATGCGTTAACTGACCATCGGGTTTGGTGCCTGTCGAATGGTGATTATCGAATAGCGTGCGGGTTAACCTAGCAATACACGTGAGTATTTCTTCGGTTCCACAGGCCGTTTCTGGTAAATGTGGACTCGTCCGTCCAGATGACATGCTCAGTGAAACCAGGTACACGTTGTTGCTGGTCTTATAGCCAACGGCAAAAAACTCGTCGGCGGTCGTGATCGCCTGGGACTAGAGCTTGCACTTTGTGTACTTTGTATGGTCGCATTTGGTTACGCTTTAAAACTTTGTGGACTGTACAGTATGACACACTTGTTCCATTCCGATGCCTTAACAATTTAGCAATACTTCGTGTACCTAAGTTCGGATTCCGGTGAACGACATCTAAAATGCGCTCCTCAGAGTGAACAGTCACTTGACTTCCACCTCCTGCCGCTACCAGAGCAATGGGCCGATTTTCCAACACTCGCTGAAATGCTGCTGTTATCAGACGAGAGTCAGTTGGGTGTCGAGCGGTTGGAAATTTTTCTCGGTAAATTCGTAACGCACCCGCAACATTCCCACTGGCTTTTCCAAGGCACATTAACATGTTGCCGTATTCACGAGCACTATAAACGTACGCGTTAGGCATTTTTAAATCAAAACAACGAACACTAAAGGTAACAATAAAAGTAATAACAACAAGAATTTAATACACAAAACAACTGAACTGCTCACGCCATAGATAAGCTAAAATAAACGGGAGACTCACGCGCATGTCGACACAGAACTGTCTCAAAAACTAAAATTAATAATCAACAGCGTAGTTCGTGTGTCCTTGCTCCTTGCGGTAGTCGCGGCGGAAGGCCACGCGGGAATTTTCCACATGTTGGCCTTGTAAATTGCAAGGCGACACGGGTTAGCAGCGTGTGTGTATTCATTCGTTTCGTATTAGTACCGAGCTAAATAAAAGAGTTCAGCGTCCGTGCGCTTATTCACCCTATAATCAGCTGGTACCATTTTAATTTTCACTGCTGGTTTTTTCAGTATTTTCACGATTTTTTTTTATGAAATTATTGTTTCATTTGGCTGTACTAACATGATGGAGCGTGAATAAAGCTAATAAAACATTGTGAAAAGATGATTTTTTTCATTGGGATCGATTTTAACCTGGTCCCATCGTCAACGGTATTGTTAGTACTATAGTCTGTCTTCGTTATCGGGAGCATTACAAAAATATCCCGTATAGTTAATGGAGTAAGTTAATTTGTTACCTCTGAATTTAAATATTTTGGAAATTATAATAAAAACTACGTTTTAACTTTCAATCAAAATAATTTATTATTCTTATTTTAGTTTATTCATGAATGATCTATTAAATATATTTTATTACCTATTTTATATTAATAATTTTATATTGATAATAATTTTATTTTTATATAAGTTCTACAATTTATATTAATTATATTTTATTACCTATTTTATATTGATTATAATTTTATTTTTATATAAGTTATATATTTTATATTAATTATATTTTATTACATATTTTATATTGTTTGATTTATTAGTACAATAAAATTACTTAAAATGTGTTTTATTTCATTAGTTATGCTAACATCTATTCACTTGACAAGAGAATGTACTTTTTTAAATAAAAACAATTAACTGCAGCTTAAAAATACTAATTTTTATTGCGTTTTTTGGGTTATATTTCATGTAGTAAGCCACACCAATCCGCCATTGCATGTTTGGTGTGTCTATCTTTATCTAATCTTAGCGACGGTATAGTTTTCGCAACTTGTGTAAGTGAGACAGTTATATGTTTATTTAAAATGTTTAGTAATTTCAAAGCTACGTCGTCGCGGTTGAATAGTGGTTACACGTTTCTCCTCTAAACTCTGATTTTTCATTCCGTAGAATTCTGACATTTCGTAAGTGTTGCTACTAAAAAAGTTCTCCACCGAAAAAGAGACAAATTTGAACCATTTGAGGGCAATAAATAATAAAATGCTACGTATTTTTTATGTTTCACCTACAAAAAGGTAAATCTAAATATTTACTTATACAAGTCACCTAATACAAAAATAACAAATATTTCAATATCACGAACAATATATCTAATTAACTTTAATTACTTAATATTTTATTCTTTAGCTGGCATCACTGTCTACTAATTCCAGGTTTAAAAAACCTTTTAAAAAAATGTTAGCTGTCACGTCGCGTCTGTCACATTGATTGATTTTCATTCGACTTCTTTGAATGCTCGAATGCGCATGTGTTCTCGGTGTTTGCTGCTATTTGTTGTTATTATCTTGTTATATTTGTTAAGTTTCTGTTATTCTGTTAAGTTTTTTCTTGTTGACCTTTCGTTTTGTGATCGTTTGTTGATTTTTATAAACGTTATGGAGCCACAACCTGGCCCTTCCCGGGAAGCAGCCCCATCTGACAGAGCACAAGGCTTAGACTTTCTTTCTCCCAGAAAGAAGCGTCCTCGTGGTGCTTTTACGCCCAACGAAAAGACCATAATTCTAAATATTTACAAATATAATATAGAAAATTGGCCGCAAACAACTGATTGGAGTGCAACGGAATGTGCTAAAAAGACTTCTGAGATGACTGGCGTGGGTCTGTCAAGTGTCTATAAAATTACCAAAGAATATAAAGACACAAAAGAATTTCAAAAGCCGAAAAAGAGTGGACCTCAACTATCTTTCATACAAAAATTTGACGAATTCACTTTCGCCGCAACTCGACGAAAGGTTCACGCGTTTTTCTACAGGAACGAGATTCCGACTATTGAAAAGGTAAAGTTATTGCTAATTCTTTAACACCTCGTTGCTGACATCCCCCATTGTTTTAAAACTATACTTTAACCTGTGTTGCCTGTCTACATTTTAACTGTAATGTAAATGCTTATTTCAGATTCACCAAGAGATAACTGGTGATCCAGACATGCCTGTTATGTCGAAATCAACATTAAGAAAAGTATTGAAGCATTTAAATTTTAAATACACAAGTCGCAAACGTCGAAGTGCGCTAACAGATCGCAAGGAGATAGTACTATGGCGTCAAAAATACTTGCACCAAATTAAACAATATAGAAGAGAAGGCAGGCTTATATATTACCAGGATGAAACGTGGGTAAACGAAGGCAAGTATTGAATTATGTGGTAATTAACTTTTTATAACCTATCTTTTCTTCAAAGTATTAGTCGGAAATCGAATTCTGTACTTATGTAATACTTAAATTAACTTTGTTAATAAATTTTTGTTACCAAAATGAATAAATAAATAAAGAAATCCATGTTTACAGGTAATATTTTTCAATTTATATGCATATATAACTGTCCTCATGTATAAGTGAAATATTAAATATATTTTTATTTTCAGGACATACCGTCAATAAAGTGTGGTGTGATACCAACATTCAATCTTCACGACAAGCTTTCCTCGATGGCTTGACAACAGGGCTTAAGGCACCAACAGGCAAAGGGGGGCGACTTATAGTTAGCCATATAGGGAGCGAAGAAGGATTTTTGGAAGATGGTTTATTAGTTTTTGAGGCAAAAAAAAGGCTTGGCAGATTACCACAAGGAGATGACTGGGGAAGTATTTGAGGAGTGGTTCACAAAAATACTTCCAAAATTAAAACCAAACTCGGTAGTAGTGTTGGATAATGCTCCCTATCATTCGAGGAAGGTCGAAAAAGTACCAACGAGTGCATGGAGAAAAGGCGATATCCAAGCGTGGTTGACTTCAAAAAAATTTAAATTTTGAAGAAAAAATGCTAAAAGTTAATTTATTGGAAATTGTGGGTCAGGAGAAATACAAATATCAACAGTGTATTGTAGACGAGATGGCCACAGCACAAGGCATTACTGTGCTTAGACTGCCCCCATATCATTGTGAGCTCAACCCTATTGAATTGGTGTGGGCTCAAGTGAAGGGGCATGTCGCAAGACACAACAGAAGTTTTAAAATGGCGGAAGTTAAAAAACTATTACTGGAAAGTATAAGTAGTATTACTCCTGATAAATGGCAAGAATGTATCAGCCATACAATCAAAGAAGAAGATAAGATGTGCACTCTCGACGATTTCATTGACACAGTCGCAGACTCTTTAATAATTCATGTCAGCGATGATGACGATGATGAAGATAGTGATATAAGTATTAATGATGACTAAAGATTTTAATAAAAATATGTTATTTTTACTTGTGCATTTTTTACTGTTTGTAATGAAAAGGGACGTAATTATCACTCGCCGTAAAACCATGTAGAGTACCGCACTTAATAAAATGGATACATTTACTAACAAATAAAATGTATGTATAGACTCAGATGTTCAGACACGTATTGAAATTGAAAAATGTGCCCGGCCAAAAAAGGTTTGTAATCTCTGACATGTCAAAAAATGATAGCTGTCAGAATTCTACGGAATGAAAAATCAGAGTTTAGTTTTGTATAACTCAATGGGTGCAAATAAAAATTTATTACCTACTTCGCAACTTGTATCTTGTAGCACAGTTTGAACTCTCTTCAAACACCTCCATGCTTCTAACTGTGCTTGTACTACGAAAATGTAACTTCTCTGCTAACCAACGTAATTTTCCGTAAATCCTTGCTGGTAACACCGACTGAAATTGCTAATGCGATTGTCAAGTCAAGTCAAGCTAAACTGCTAAAGCTAATGCGACAAAAATGGAAGCCGAAAGTCTGGAAGCTGGTGGAAAAAAACACTTAGACAATGTTTTATCAGAAGATGAAGTTGCTAATTTGCCAAGCAATGTTGCAGATAAAATTAATGCTTATATTGACACCAAATTTGGAGAATACCTAACCTCCAAGGCTCTTCTAGAAAGCAGTAAAACACAAATAGGTAAGTAACCGGTCTTTTTTCTACTCAAGCTTTCTATAGGTTCCGTATTATAAATACATTTACGTTGTGTGATCCTTTAAGTTCTTCTTCTTCTTCATTTAAATTATGGCTTCTCTTGGTAGAATTCATCCTTAAAAAGTTAAAATCATGTTAAATGTAAAGTTAATGTAGGACGCAAAATCAAACTACCTAGATTTATTTTATAAATTTTAGGCCTTCCTTTATTTTCAGTTTTTTTGGTCTATCTCTCATAAGCAATCTGTCTAATGGCTGTTCATGTAATGAACTCAACTTCAAATAATAAATAAAAAGACTATTGAATCTTAAGGCTCAATTATAAAATTACCATCTGCAATCAATTTGAAGATTTATATTTTAGTACCCGGATGACCGATATTCGCTCAGTTTTTTTTTTAAATTACATTTAGATACAAATTACATACTGATGATTAATTTTTTGATCTTATTGACATAATAGAAAAGTTGTAAGTTTTTTGATCTTATTGACATAATAGAAAAAAACTGAACTGGTTATTTGAATAAAAAATCAAGAGTGCAATTATTTTAATTAAAATTTTCGTATTTTTAAAAAATACTAATAAAAGAGCTCAAAATAATAGATTTTCTCACAAGAAGGGTACTTGAAAAAAAAAGGAAAAAAAATCAGACCAAAGACAGAACCCGAACCAAGTCATTACGATTTCGCGACCACTCGATATCCACTTGAGCTATTATAATCATTAACACATAGTCAAAATTTACCTTCTTATATTGTAGCAGTTTTTCATTGCCTGAAAACACGGACAAAAAGACATTTTGTTAAAATAAATCCTAGCTAGATCGATTTATTGCCCCCGAAACTCCCCGGACACAATTTTATGAAAATTGTTGGAGCCGTTTCCGAGATTCCGATTATATATACATATATATATATACATATACATATATATATATATATATATATATATATATATATATATATATATATATATACAAGAATTGCTCATTTAAAGGTATAGGATTTGTACATTAAATTTAAAGTACATAATTACACTTCTTAAATTTCTTAAATTATATTTTTATGATTGCGTAACCAGTTAATAAGTTTGTTACCTTTAAAACTTTACCTGCCTCTTATAATTTCTTGATACAAGTTGCTTGACTCCATAGAGTAATTAATTCAGCACATTGTATCTTGGCCGGGCTGATGTTGGCTTTCCGAGATATTCCTGCATGTACAGATGCTAGTTAATCGAGATGTGCCCCTTTACATTCACTCTTAAAATTACTTAGAGAAACAATTTGTTCTTATTGATTATTGAATAAATTGATACTTATTATTATAGTGAAAATATCTTTATGTATCTCTATAAAACAATACCATTGTACAAAAAATTACATTAGAAGAACTGTTTGAATATATATAGTAAATACACAATATCAGCAGGGACAACAAATTATTTTGGTAACACTAAAATAGTATAACTTTAAACTTTCAATAAAAATTTTATTGCACATCTTCATAATCACAGTAATTAAAACAACATTTGCATTTACACACTATAGAACCATATAAATATAAAAATCAAATTATTATTATTATCGAATAATTTGGAGTATTTATATTTTTATATCCACAAAATATGCATATTCACATCTCTAGTTTTAGTTATTGCTCACCCTCCCATTCGTGTCACCATTTAGTTCTTTGAAGTTATATATACGCAGCCACTTACGACACTTCAGCCTAGCCAGGATAGAGCTCCTGGACTAACCAAGGACGTTTTTAAATTTAATTAGAAGCGATTTAATAAATTATTAAACAAATGCTAAAAAGGGCTATTATAATCTTATAAGTATATGATTACATAGTTGATAATATTCCTTGGGAATGAGGTGATAAAACCAAAGTTTTTTAAATGATGTTTGTCAATAATTGTACAACCTGTTTTATATTATATAATGTTATTATAAAAGGCAGTGTTGGGTTTATAGCTAATTAATATTGTAGAGTAATTTTGCTAATTAATTTTATGATGTTCTTATCCAAATATAAAAAAAATATAAACAATTAATATATCCAATTATTTGTTTGAAAGTCAAGTGAGAGCTAGAGTAATGACGACTGTAAGATATTGTTGATAAATGAAATGTTTTGAGTCAACTATCAATTATCATGTAGTGGAGGTGTATGAATATCCATATCATCCTGTGAGTGTTGTAAGTGGCAAATAAACTTGGAGAAAAGTGTCATTTTTAAATAACCATGACTGTTGTTCCAGTTTAATAAAAACAACTGTGAAAAATCACTGTGACTTCAATTTCTCATAAGACATGGATAAAAAAGTTACTCTGCTAATACAGTGACCATCGTCCCAATTACAAAACCATCATGATGAAAACTTATTGTGCCTTGTCTCCTAGATAATGTTGGATATCTACTTGGAACATTAGAATGACTTAACATGATTTTATATATGCATTTTTGAATTAGTAGTAAGTTTTATTTCAGTAGTCGATTTTTATTACCTTCTTGAGGCACCAAGGCCACGCTGGGCTGCCTTCTCGATGACTGGATTTCTTTTTAAATTATTCTAAATCAGTGCTTGCCGTAAGAAACTGGAAGCATTTTAAAATGAGGATGTATCGCCGTATGCTCCGAATAAGTTGGACAGACAAAATTACCAACACTGAGGTCCTCAAGCAGATGAAAAGGAATAAGCCCCTACTTATCAAAACCATCAAACAGAGAAAAGTTGCGTACCTAGGACACATGCTAAGGCAAGAACGTTACCAACAGCTGCAGACTATTATGATGGGCAAAGTAGCAGGTAAAAGAAGTGTTGGTAGAAGGAAAATGTCCTAGCTCTGTACGGATGTTACAAAATGGACCGGGATAAAGAAAGTAGAAGATCTGTTCAGGCCGTTGCCCTGAACAAAGAAAAATTTAAGAGGATGACTGCCAACCTTCAGTATGGAGAGGCACTTAAAGAAGAAGAAGTACTTAGCTACAATTCCACCTGATGGTAAGTGGTGATGTAGCCTAAGATGGTGAAACACACTGACTTAACAAAAACCTATTCACTCTTGCCTTGAAGACACCCACACTCTAATCGGATGGAAAGACAGATGCTGGCAACTTATTCCACTCCTTTTCTGTATGCATGATGAATGACATAGCAAACCGTTTGGTTTGAATGCATGGTAAGTCAACAACAAAAGTGTGGCCAAACATCTAGTTGTGTGATGGTGGAAGAAAGGGAGGAATTAAAGCATGCAATTTCTGCACACTCTGAAATGCATGGCACAATACCTTGTAAGATGAGTAAGACTGTAAGATAATTAGTTTCAGTTTTTCTTTATTATAGTTTTTTAATATTGTATGTATTTTAATGTTTCATTATATGTCCACAATGAGCTGCCATGTTTGATTTTATGTGACTTCATGAAGCTTAAAACCCTCGTAATGCCACAATGTTTTTAAAGATATCTAATTTGTTAATAAACAATGAGTAGTTTAAAAGATCTAAGTGAACAGATGAACATAGATATAACATTATAAAATTGTAACCATCCTTATATTCCAATTATATACCAATATTCACTTACATCAGTGATTATCAATCTTATTTCTTTTACCACCCCTTTGAAGATTAATTATTTTTCAACGCCCCCAATTTTTATACACACCTAATACTTAAAAACCACAATTTAATTACTTTCATTAATTTAGTTATGGTGTGCCATATTAGTTGGTTCTGGTATTTAAACTTACTTTCTAAACTAGGCATTACCTGTGAGAGCAATTAAAACCCAACTTTATAATATTAAAAATATATTTTAATCAAATTAAAAGAAACAATATAGATAGGTAATCAATTTTAGTTTTAAAACTAATCTAATGAGATGGATGAATTTGATTATTTTTAACAAGTTTGTTGATATCAGGTTCGATTTCACTCGATTTCTCACACGGTTGTAAGTAGCCATGTTCGGTAACATACAAACGATTTCTCTTTTAGTCAGCAGCATTGTCACAGTGCTAAATCCACGTTCACACATATGATGATGGGATTGTTATCAAAAATCGTTGAATGATCGACCACAATCCAGGGTACAACTGCGGGATTGACTCTTGTAGCCAAAATTCTTGTTAGCCATTTTTGAATTTGATTTTTATTTCCTCGCTCATTGTCAGTTCTGTAAGTTCTTCTTCCAGTCGGGTGATATTGCTATGTTGACGTTTGAAAAAGGTTCTAACACTCAGTCTGGTATTTCCTATTTCAAAATGTCTTGGAATCTTTCAATGAAATTACTTTGGAGATTTTCCAAATGTTGGCAGTACACAAGCAAGTCGTCGTTGTTGCAGGATACTGATAAATTGGGAAAATCATGGAACTCACGTCTGCCGATATTCTTCTTGTGCAAGAGCAGCTTGGCTACGAAAGCAGTCATAAAGCAATCTATAAATATCATTTAGGAATTTATAAAGGTCTGTCAGGTATGCGCTATCATTCTTTAATGTGATAAGGTTGTCGCGCAATTCTGTGTCTTTGTTTTCCAAGAACTCTACGACAGAGTCAAACAGCTTGTAAAATTGAGTCAGAAAATTTCCTTTTAATAGCCAATGCACTTCTGTGTGAAAGATCAATCGGTTGAAATCTTCATCATTAGTAACACAAAGCTGATTAAATAATATGTCATTTAAAGAGTTGTTTCGGATTTTATTGACTGCTCTGATGACATGTTGCAATGACTGAAACAATCGATCACTTAAATTTCAAGCAAAAAATTTTGTAGATGTATAATGCAATGTACAGCAAGCACATCTGAAATTTTGTTTTTTAAGTATGCTAGCCTTTTTGACACCCCCTCATAGCTGCAGCACCATCATCTGTAGCAGCTGATATAATATTCTTCAAGGGAATTCCTTTTTTATCACAAAACTTTTCCAGTGTTTTAAATATGATTTCTCCTTTTGTGTCTGTCTCTAAATTTCT